GAAAAAAGACACAACTTCATGAAGGGCAACATCAGATTTTCCTGGTCCTTTAACATCTCCTAGAAAAACTCGTCTGCTGGATATGGCGGCGCTCGCTACGCCCACCAGTGCGGCCTACGATTGTCGTGTCACATGCCCCTTGGTAAGTGCGCCCTTACCCACAGAAAGTAGGGGAGTATCCTCTAAAGCTCTGACATTTGTCACAAGAAAACTAGTCTCTTACCCTCTCAGGTCTGTCTAGACTGCCTTGTACCCCTTGGTCGATTGTTTGTCAGACGCTAGGAAAGTAATACCAAGGAACTGAAAATACGCCATCGACGCTCACTTACCAAAGTTTTTCTCTGTGCTGAATTTGAGACGCTATATCAAAGTAGCGAAAGTTCCGTTATACTGTGTTCGCTACGTGGTTTCCACAGCAACCGAAATTGAAAAAAAATATCTTTGGCGCAGTTTGGCTTGGGGAAGAGGGACGTTTTGCGCTTTCGCTACTTTTCATAATCGCGTCGAGTCACCAAATAGCGATCTGTGAAATCTTGTGAAGCCAGAAATGATACCAGTCAAAGTTAGTACAGACTACATTCCAGCTCTTGTAAAGGAGTGAACATGACGTTGGGAAGTAGAGAAAGTACAGAATGCCTCCCCCAAGCCGAACTGAACCTTTTTTCACTGTTGTTGGGACACAATGAGCTCGAGGGATAGAGGGATAAAGTCTTCGTCGTTGATCAATCCCTTTCCGGGATGGGCACACATCTACTTCCATTCGAAGTCGTAGCTTGAATGCAGTGTGGCCTATATCATGAATTTCTGCGGCTGGGTGATGTATAAGTCAGTGATCCTATCCTCCTAGAAGAATCCGGTGCTAATTAAACGTCCCATAGGGTAGAAGGCCTGGATGCCCTAGACGGCAGTTGAATCAAGGATCTGTCCACGGCATCGCACCCGTGGTAAGCTGCTACTTGCCCAGGACAGCGGGATTTTGTTGTTTGTTTCACGAAGGGAGCTAACGAATTGAACGATGCACTTTTCAGACGGAAACACGCGCTGACGTAGGCTTGTTGTTGGTCACGATAGTGCAAAAACATGAGGAAAGAACGCACTGCGCCGTCGCCCGTCGCGCAGTAATCGTGAACCAGCATTTTGTTGCGAAATTAGCCTAGAACTTTTGTCTGGGAATCATACCTGGGCGTTGTCGCTACCGTGATAACTCAGCGAATTGGCGCTGTTCCATATCCTATTTTTGTGAGCCCTATCGAAGTACTGAAACATTGTCGTGAAAGCAGGTGGTTAAGAGAATTGAGTGAAGGCGAGAACGTTCCGTTTCAAAGGGTCTATGAGACCTCTGATATCTCCCATTTGTTGTAAGAGGTCCTTTCATCGCTGAACCTCATCGCCAACTGTGCGCTATCGTATCGATTTTCCTTCTCACGATGCCCCGTTCTCTCTTTAAAGTTATCATATTTGTGTAGATCTTTACCTCCATTTATCCATTATTACTTTCCTTGAGTGGATGAAATTCACAGTCCTTTCTTTCATGTTCTGCTTTTTTTCGGCCATGAACTAGTTATTTGATGTGTTATGCAGAGAACACCTAGTTGTAATATATGGTTGCGTTTTCGTGAGACGATGGAATCGTGATGCATAGTGGTGGGTAATAAGATGATTTGGAACATTCTAAAGCCGCGCGCTTTCTAGTAATTACATCAAACTTTTCCGAATTGCACGTGAAGAAATTATTTGTTCATTAAAGGCACGCTCCAGCCAAGAATGGTGAGTTGTGCGGCTCAAATACCATTACAAGGTGGTATAACACATCGGTGAAGAGAAAAAGCAACCCGTCTCAGAACACTCGTCAACCGCGGGGTTCCCCTTCTCTTTCCTTTTTCTTCCTTCCAATTTCTTTGCCTTCCTTCCATCTTTGTTCCCTACTCCCCGCCTTCTCCGCTCTGCACTCTCGCACCCATAGCGTGTCTGGTTGACAAGAGCCCTGTCACCAAAAAACCCTCAGAAAATGCCCCATATAGAATCCCCCTGCTAAACCACGCTTGTAAATGCATAATGCGAAAAAGCGTGTTCGGGCGAGTGCTTTCTTGATTACTTGTTGATATCGGCTCTTTCTCCGCACCATCTCACTCTCACCTTTCGAAAGAGGGCTAATGGTGGAAAATCGCACTGCCAGGACCGAAAGCTGGGCATTGTCGTGACCACTGGGTGGGCCGTGGCCTTGTCGCAAGCAAGTCGCACTTTTCTTACGTATTTTTGAGCTGTGAAAGTATGTGGTCCATGCTAGCAGGCAGGATTACACTGAAAATCAAGTGAATGTGGGGCGTGTTTTCAAGTGCATTCTCTACCTAGTATTTCTCGAGTTCTTCTTCTGCATTTTTGTTCTATCAAGCCTTCTCAGCTATAAGCATAAGAAATCCGCTCCGAAGTTCTCTTTCGCCTATTTGAATAATGGATTCAGATTAGCTGTGGACGCCATGAGTTTTTTTTTGTTCCAGAATGTTGACTCGCTCTTTGTCGTTGGTGCAAGGCCAGACGGTCATGTACGCAAGTTGTGCAGCACTGTCTTCTTCCAAGCCCACCGGTAAAAGAATCAAGACATTTGAAGTCTACCGTTGGAATCCTGACCATAAGGGCTCCAAGCCCGGAATGCAGGTACGAACGTGTTGTTTACCGTTCCTTCATTGACTCGGGCACCACGTAGACCTCAGACGGGCCTCCCACTTGGTATCCTCCGAATAGTTTGCTGTTGAAGTATCTGCCGAAAAAGCTGGCTCGGCAGTGTATATCGCGTTCACTGTGAAAAATACCCCTAAGGGCTGTATTTGCTACCGCTAAGAGCTCTATTTGGCAAAATTTTTGAGCTTTCTGTAGTGAGCTTGCAGTGTCACAATATGGAACGTGTTATTTGAAAAGGGCAAATTCTAGAAGTTCGACATAGACTTGGATCAATGCGGATCTATGGTGTTGGACGCGCTCTTGAAGATTAAAGACGAACAGGATCCCACCTTCGCCTTCAGAAGAAGTTGTCCGTGAAGGTATGAAGCATACATTCTATGCTACTTTCAATGTTTATTCTAAGTTTTATATACCCGCTGACAAAATACCCTTCATCGCCAATATTGTTGGAGATTATTCACGATGAAAACTATCGTTTGCATGATTACGAGTGGCTAAGGCACAACCCGCGTTCAAAATTTGTGATTATACTAGCGGCTCGAATATATACTAGCGGCAACATGGTAAATAACACAAAAGTGAAGAGAAATTCACTTTTGTGTTATTTGTTGGTGCTTGCAAGAACGAAGAGCTGGCACCACTTGTTGGTGCCAGCTCTTCGTTCTTGTCACCTTGCTCTCACCATTCGCAATGAAGAGAATTGGTAGCAGAACAACCGCACCATCAGGTAGCAGTTAAAAATGAAATTAAGGCGTCGCCGTACCTGGTGGGCGGGGCCGTGGCTAAGTCGTGAGTAAGAAATCATTTGTGGAGCTTTCGCGGGTTCGTTGTTTCGGCTACAGGTCGGCAGTGCATAGCATTGCTGTGTAGCACCTATTGTGAAAATTTGATAAGATGGTCGTATTCGGTGGGGAGGGGTCCTATTTAGCAGAAAAAACTACATAGCGCGAACATGCATGCGCCGTGCTTTAGGGTATTCGGGGCCTTCGAAGCTCGCAAGGTTTTGTGTTTATCTCAGTATTTCTGCAGCCTGCGGCTACAGAAGAACTTGAGCTTGCTGATACCCGAGCAATTTCTGTCCATGGGCAAAATATTCGCGACATACGGCTCCCCGCCCGCAACCTTTCTCATCTGGTGCAGCCACTACTTCCAGCCCTTACTAGCCTGAACTTTCTCAGCTTCCTTTTCCAGAAATAACTCCAGTTTCAATCACTTAAAAACCTTGTCATCGAGGGGAAAAGGGGTGTATATGAGAATTTCACGGTACTGCCATCGGGTGGGGGAGGGTACGCAGAGATTTCCGCGCGTCACGGTGACAGAGACCTGTGTTTTGAACAAGCAAAGAAGCAGAGACGTAAATGGCGCTATGTAGTTGAAGAAGGCGGGGAGGGGACAAGCGACCTTTCAACTAAGTCAGCTTATTTGCTTCTGACCTATATTGTGACTGTTTCCCCCTCCCCTTGTTCAGTATCAAAGAGTGGATATGTTACAACGCCGCGTGTCCTCCCTTTCTCAGCTATGGAAGCGCGCCAATTTAATCTGCACCAATTTGGATAAGGTTTAGTCAAAGCTATCGCAGTGAGTAAGCATGTTAGGCTTGTTCGTGTGGACCGCGAACGCTGGGATATCAAAAAAAGGGGAGGGGGTGCTCTGCGCTCGACTTGATGCGGCCAGCTTTCACAATTGATAGAGACAGGAGTATCGCTGCGCCACAGTAAAACCCGCTGGAGCGCCTCACCGCAGCGAACATGACCCTAGATTATTTGCGTTTTTCCTCAATGGTTGTTCAAGTTTTTTTAAAAGACGACCACTTAGATTTCTTTTTTCAGGGCAGATTTGCCATGAAAGCCATGGCGGTTAGATGAAGTGGGTTTTTGCAAGTGACGTTTTCTTCGCGGGAGTAGTCAAAGTTTCTGGATGGTCAAAGGTTGGACTGTATGAAGAAATTTCAGTCTGGTTTGCTCAGATTGATGTATTATTGGGAACTAATGGGACTGCCAGCATTTTGACAAAGGGTGCCCTGGCGAAGCGCAAGAACATTAGTTTAGCAATTTGTGGCTCAGGTAGCGCATTGAATATCGCTGGAAAGAGATATACCTGCGCATTGTACTCCAAAAAATCGACGCCGATACACACGCAAAGCTCACCAAGATTCTAGCCTTACCTCATAGTTTGTTCAACTCAAGGTAAGAAGCGGCATCTTTGCACCGAAATTTCCGCAGGTCATCCTGTGCCAGGGCAGAGTGCACAGGAAAGCTGTGTTTTTTTCCTTCAGGAACTCGTTCCTCCGACTGGTCCCTATTTTTCCGATCATAATTAAATATACCTACAGCCATGGCTTCAAGAAGAAGGAAAACATACACAAGCTGAACCGGAGAACAGTATGTTCCAAACGTTAAAGGAGCGCTGATATGGCTGTGCTATCTCAGGATTCTGCTAAAGAGATAGCTTGTGAAGGCTCAGTTTTGACTTTTTTTTCAGAGATGGCCATCCCTATGAATGGCATCGCTTGTTGCATGCTGCTCCAATGCATCTGTCCATCGTAAACTGGTGAATGCCATGACAAATAACCTTGACCTTCTCTGTGCTGAACATCGCAGTGCTTACACGGTACAGGGGAAACATCTCTGGAATCAAAATTTTTCTGATGTTTGCGTAGACAGACTGGGGAAGTGGGGGAGCAGTGGTCAAGACAGAGCTCTTTCGACAAGGCATGCCGTGCGCTGAGGATGTCGATGTGGAACGAGGCGATGAATTAATCCTGCCCAGCGCATCGGCGAATTAGCGAGTTTTTAAAGGAACAGGATACTATCTCCGTCATCGTGCCTTTAATGTAGCTTTTGCCTCCGCTAAATTCCTCGTACGGCCATTCTGATGCCACCTATCACAAACCCTGATGCATTGCTGGGGAATTTCCAGCTCGCAAGATCGCCGGCACGTTGCGCCGTAAGCGAAGAACGAGCAAATTAATACGATTGTACTGATCAGTTTCCGTAGAAAGCTGGAAATGCTCTAAATGGAGAATGGAAAAGTAAATTATCGCAGGAGCGAATGGTGAGGATCTATTCGCTCTCCACTGGGAAGGGTTTCATCCCCAGTTTCCTACAAAAATTTTTGAGGATGGCATCGCGGGGAGGATTAGTCATGGAATTAGGCTCGTCACATGATCTGTTAGGATCAGTATTTCGGCTGGATATCAGTACCCCACCGTCTCCCTGAAATTCCCTTCTTTGGCACGATCTCCTTTTCCCGACCACGTTGCCATTTCCCAGAAAGACCTAGTTTTTGCTGCGAAAAGCGGAGCGGGGTGCAGGGAGGACGGGCGAAGTATGCAGCCGCAAGTTTCAATGACAAAAGTCAGAGCGGAAATAAGTAAAGAAATGTCAGGGATCCTTTGTCCATTGTACGGCGGCGACGACCGCCCTGTCCCAACACTCCGAATACGGGTATGGTATGACAAGAGGATCGCTAATTTGCCGCGCTGCCTGTGATCGCGTGCCGACAGTGTCTGCCCGCAAAAGACGATGGTTTCAGGCAGTAGATGGCGACAACATGCAATTAAGGACCGAAAACAGTAATGAGTGTCTACGATGACGGGGTCTACATGAAGTCCGGTGCTCCATTCGACAGGTTAAAACGAGTTATGAAAACGCCGCGCCCATCGCCGCGCGTGGCGGTGCGGCGAATTACGATCCTCTTTACCGTCTCCCCCGAATACGACCTTCCTCCGGGGTCTCTGATGTGCGACGTGCCGCGAGCATCAGATTTGAGGGGGCCCTATTCCAAGAGAGCAAAATGCTCCTCATCGCCTTGGCATGGTCTTTATTAGGCGTGTGATCTTGGAACGCTGCCGAGTGTAACATGTTAATTCATGTAAGCTGTTCCTGTTATTGCCGGACCTGACAGGTTTTCACGCGTCAACACATTGATTAAATGCTTATCGATTTGCAAACGTGGACCTCTGTGCATGAACTATTAGTTACTTTTATGGGTGAACTGACGGCTTGTGGGGTCCTAGCAAATCGTACTCGTTCTTTTTGCGAATGATCTTTCTTCTTTTCTGTCTTCTACCTTTATTTCATAGTCCATGGCTCTGGACGGCTCATTGATGAAATTTATCCACCTCGGTGAAGGCCCAGTAGCTCAGAAGTTCTCCTCTAATGAGGCTCAGTAGTTGAAAAATTCCTTCCCCGTAGGGTACTGCCCTTGAAAGTTTTGCGTCGACCGTATAGGGTATTGTAGCATTAAAGATTCTCCAGGGAAGAGTTGGAGGGTCGTATTTTGCAAATTTCCGGGCCACTTCAACGTGCCCGCGCCCAGTTTACATATTGCGTTTCTTGGTTGTTGTCCTATCTGTACTTTGCAGGTGGATCATCGATTCACGTGATGATTACCCCAAGGAACGTCTCGCTCGCATGCATGATGCTTATTCCGCGTTCAAGTGCCATACTATCATGAACTGCACGAAAACCTGCCCGAAGGTGATTATTTCTGAATTTTCATTTTTGATCGGTTTTCTTTATGAAACTTTGGGAGACAGCGCTGTCTTTCACGTCGTAAATTATTCGTAGAACCATGTAATCAACAATACTTCCTTTACTTTGATATTACTTCCCCGTTGAGAGGGTTGTTCGCCCTAGAAAGGCATTGCGCACTTCTCGTTCCATTTATTCCATGTGGAATAACTAGACTCACTTTCTTGGAACCTGTAAACCCCTGTGAAGCTGCGGAGTGGCACTTTGGTTCACATGTCTTCAAAGAAAAAACGCCGTACACGCCGCCAAGTACATTCGGTACCTCCAGCAAGCCGAATCGCGCCATAGTTGGGTACTTCAAGGACCATTTCCGACAGGGTCATTCTCTCTCTGCTCGTCTGCGTCCTGTCAACGAGACAGTATTCGCCCGCGAACAGACCTAAAGAAAGTGGGCACGATGTTCGAGCGGTTACTGTCAACGTCATCGGCGACAGGCGTTTGGGCATGCCCCGCGCAGCCCATCCTCCAGGGACGCTGACAGGAATGGCCCGCTACCAGCCTTCACGCCCACTGCCTTTAATGCCTGGGAAAGGGGTCTGTGAGCAATGAAAAGATCTTTAT